TGTCATTCTTTGTGCAGGGAGATCATGCTCATGGCCTCTGTTCAATAGGCCTCGGTCTCTGCTCTCTGCCTCGCGGTTTCCTTGGGCTTGTATTGGTCCAGGGTGACGTGCTGGGTAATGAATGAGAGTAAGAAGCTGGACTTATGAGAGTTACCTCCTTAGCACTGTGTTGTGATCAACTAACTGACTGAACTGGCCAAGGACATTTAGCATTTATATATCATTAAACATGGGGTGTTACCCAAGATTCACCCCATGGCCTAATTCCAAGTACCATTGCACGATACTTCCTCCAACAATTCCTATTATACGAGCCAAGGTTACTGTGGGGGGAGGGTAGTGAAGCTGCTTTAAAATGTATAAAAATCCATGTATCTACAAAGCAATGAATACCAAATATATCTTACTTATACTTGTAGTTTGCGAACGTCTATAGAGATGGTGTGAGGTAGGTATTATTCTAGAAGCCAGGGATATGACAAAGAGGGAAAAGGCAAGGTTTCTGTTCCAGTGAAGTTTACATTTCAGTGAGGAGAGTTAAACAATAATATTTATTTGAATAAATAAAAAAAATCCAGATAGTAATAAATTCAGAAAATAGGGTGATATAATACAGAAGAACTGGTCGACCCCTTCACATTGCACGGTTAGGAAAGGTCTCGTCCAAGAAGTGACATTTAAGATGAGTTGTGATTGAGACAAAGGGCCAGTCTTGTATAAGAGCATCTTAGACAGCTAGTGCAACCCTGGGAAAGGAAGGAACTTGGTGTGTGGACAGTAGAGAGGCTAGTGGGGCTAAAGAATAGTGGGCAAGGAGGGACATGCAATGGAAAGATGGGTAGTGCTGAATCACATAGGTCTTTATGAGCCAGAGCGATGCTAAGTGAAGGAGGAAGCTCTTGAAATGTGCCTGATTTATATCTTACAACAATCCATAGCAGAAGCAGGAAGACAGATAGAAGGCTACGGTGCAGATCTGAGGGAGAGACAACTATTGTCTAGACCAGAAGGGTAGTGGGAGAGAGAGTGCTAAGGGGGTTCGATCAAGATACACTTTAGAGGAAAGATCTGCAGGAGTTATAAATGGACTGACTGTGGGGATGAGAAGGGACGAAGGACACCTGGGTGGATGATGGTACTGTTTTCCTGGAGAGAAATGGGTTGGTTGAAGGATAAGGCACTTAGGCAATGGAAATCAACAGTTCTATTTTGGACATGGTAATTTTGAGCTGCAAATTACACATCTGGCCTCGATACAGGGAAAACAGTTGGTATATGAATCTAGAGCTCAGGGGCAACTCAAGGCTGGAGATATACATTTGGTGATCATTGACCTATGGATGGCATTTAAGGCATGGAGATTGATGTGCTGGCCCAGGGAGTGAGCATTGGCCAAGAAGAGAAGAGGGCTGGAGACCAGGCCCTAGCTCATCCCCGACCGCAATCCACATTTCATGTCACAGAAAAACATTTTAATCGCATGGCTGCCACACTTTGAAGAGTTTATGAATACAAGAGATGCACAGAAGTGGAAAGAGACTGTTCAGGACTCTTCTCCAGACGGGTAGCTCTGTAAAAGGTGATTCAGGACTAGCAGGTCCTTCTTCTACTAACCTGCATGGGTTTGTAAGCTCTCCCTTGCATCCCTATGGTTGGGAAGAGGGAAGACCCTGAGAAATCTTTCTCTGCCAGCAGGTTATAATGAGCATTTGCTACCAGCTGGTATGTGGAAGAAGCTGTCTCGCCTAGAAAGTCAATCTCTTTTTCCCATGAACTTTGAGCAATATGGTAAAAAATACTTCAAATGATATTTAATCCTGCCTTCAGGCAGGGAAAGTTTCCAGTGCCCTTCAGGCCAGCACAAACTAAGAATCTGTCTCACCTAGAAAGACGCAGCAGTATATTGGACACTAGCCAGGAGCTCTTCTACTTTAGGAAAAGTGTCAAGACATCAGCCTAATGGATACAAGGAACAGACGGACAGATCTCAGAGGGGAGGCAGGTAGAGAGGACAGGAAGAGATCAACCAAAGAATATATATGCATATATGCATAGCCCATGGACACAGACCATAATGTAGTGAAGGTCTAGGAGGGGAGGGGGCAGAGTGGAGGGAGGCAAAGGGGAGGGAAATGGGGGACAGCTATAATAGAGTCAACAATAAAAAGAAAAAACACAACTTGGCTTAATATATTTGAATTCTAATGCTATCTTGAAATAATAAATAAAACATTGTGTCCTGAAAGAAAGAAAAAGACATCAGCTTAGAGAAAAAGCTGGGCTCCAGGACCAATGCCAATTAATGGGAGGCGAGAAGCAAAGAGGGTGAGTTTTCCCCATTCTCCTCCTGCCTGTAGCAACTGGGCTTTGTCATCTGGGAACCACATTATTATTATTTTTTAAGTCAGGAGATAAAAGCACTGCTCAGAATCATCAGTGTTGAAGAATAAAGTCAGAAATATTATGTTCATTCCGCATCTTGTTCAATTTGCACAGCTGTTTTTTGAAAATAAAAGTCTGTTTATATAGATATGATTATTTGCAATTACCTATGAATGTATTGTTTGGGGAGCATGCTGCACAGTTAATACTGCAACAAATTACAGAAATTCTCCCAATAACACAGCAAGGAAATCTGTATCCCAATGGAAGAATTGATGGCAGTGTAGGGAAACCATTTTGACAACAAATGATTCTGTTACATGTGCCCCAGTAGGCTTTCTTACCTCTGGATGCCTCTCTCTGGGAACTGAGCTGGCTTTAAGTGGCAGAACAAGTGACTCCTCCAAACACAGGTTTACTGTGATACACATTTCAGGTTATGGAAAAATATTTTTTAATCATATGACTGCACACTATTCAAAAGCATTAATGCAAAAGATGCAGAAAGCCATTTTGGAAGATTGGTATTAGACAAAGGAGCCAGTTTTGAGGTATTGTGATGAGGAGTTGGGAAATTAAAAAAACACATATTTTGGAATAAGGATTTGATGTAGGAAAAACATTTTCAAAATCCTTTTGAAAGCAAAAGATGCATTTGCTAGTACCAGCTGCTGACTTTGAATAATTGTGACGAGAGACCCAATTTTGCCTTCATTACCATAATTTGAACATATTCTCCTCAAGGGTTAAAACCCACAGCCAACAGTGTATGCTCATGTGGGCCCCATTTGATACAGCGATTTAAGCCTTAGGCAAAGTAGACCCCAAAACATTTCCTATAATAACCACAGACAGAGCAATGGATAACCATGATGTTTAGTTCCGTTAGCTGTATATAAACAACGCAACTTGAACTAGGAATACTTTACAATTTTCCTCCTACTTGGTAAATTTCTGGTCATTTTTGGAAAAAATCCAGAATAAAGACCAAACATGGAACTGCTGGAACAGAGCTGAGGTTGATAGGAAGCCTGCTCTGCTCTGAGGACCAGCAGTCAACTGGAAGACTTCGCATAGCCCTAGCTCTGCTCCCTAAGGCAGGGTAAGCATACATTCTAAATCCCCGGCTCCATCGACTCAATGGGACACCAAAACCATGCCAGGCCTCTTGATTAGGATTCCCAAACGGTTTATCAGTTGGGTAGCACATGTGCTATGGTCGACCAGGGTAAATCTGGACACTTCATCCCTGGTTACTCAAGGACAGGGTGTCAAGATGCTTTCTGGTCAGGTCCTCCTAAGTTATGCAACATAAATAATTGCAAAAGCTACTATTTCATTAAATTACTTCCATGTCCCAGTAGCTTTACTAGATGCATAATTCATAGGTGTTTTTTCCAGTCCTGACCACATTTCTGCAAGTTAAGTATGGTTATCCAGATTTTACAAACAAAGAAACCGAGGCTCAGAGAAGTTAAGTAACTTATATTCAGTCACTGAGATGATACGAATCTGAGTGGGAAACAACTAGAGGATTTCAACAAAGAGAGAGATGTGATTTAAACTGTATTTGTTTTCAGACTCAAAACCAAAAGCCAAGGCTGCCAACAATGGCAAGTGTTAGAAATCACAGCATTGGCATGAAGGCTGTGGTAACTGTGGAACCTTGAATGGTACCATCAGCAGGGTGGTATTTCCTCTCAAGTCCTGCCTTTCCCCCACGTCAAGGACCTGCTACTTGGTAGAGAATGCAAGTTGCTCAAATTGAGGCTGTACATCTTGACATGAGGTTGACATGTCAACATGTCAACACGGGGAACAGGACCAGCACTTCAGTCACAAAGAGCTCTGACATGCAGCAGAACCACCTGTGAGCTCAAAACACATCTCTGGGCCCTTTCTCTAGATCTTCTGATTCCAGAGGTTGGTGGTGTGTTTTAAAGAAAACTCCCAGATAATTTTGATGCTCTTCAGAGTTTGAAAATTACTGCTGTCAATGTCATGCTTGGGAGGAGGATGTCTTACTCAGAAGCCTGAGCAACCATAGTGAGCTACAGTTGTGGGCTGGAAGAAAAGTTCAGCTTATAGGAATGAATGGAGGTATGTCCATGAAATGAGCACTCTGTGAGGTTACTTTTCCCCTGTCCTGATCAATGTCTGCCTCTTTTTATTTACTCCCATTAATACTTGAGTCAAGAGACTATCATAACAGGTCTTCAGGAAGTATTTATCTTAGTTACCCAATGAAGACAGTGTTTCATGGAAATCATCCAAACTTGCCTAATTATAGAAAAGATGGAAATTTTGTTCTTGAAGATGATTCTGTAATTTTGTTTTGTTTTGTCAGTTTGAGAGGGCTAATTGTATTGGGAAGCTCATCTACCAATCCATCAAATCAACGCGCTCTCGCCATGCAGGCCATGCGGTCCCACTGGGAACGCTTTCCTGTCATTGTGATGGTACCGACCAGCTTTCCAACCTTGACAAATGCCATGACAATGTTCTGGCAGTGACATTATTTTTATCTTTGGGCTCCTGTCTTTCAGAAGCCTGGTTTGTTATCACAGTCCTTGAAATTGTTAGGCAGGATAAGATCATAAGGCAGATGTATTCTCTACCTGGTACTGAAGTTCCAAGCGCGACGAACACTACCGCAGTCACAGAATCTTTCAGACCAATGGTGCAGCCGAAGTGGGAGGCCAGGTCACCGATGAAAGCTGTCAGTACGCCGATCATGATGATGGAGACAATGAAACACGCCCAGCCATTCCAGTATTCAGTAGGGGGCACGAAGGCAAAGAGGACCTTCCAGAACACAGTCAGAAAGTGCATCACGTAATCGAAACAGGAGGGCAGCTTCTCCTCCCCACATTCGTCTTCATCATCATCTTCTCCTAGAGAGAGAGGAACGAAGCACATTTCATCACAACCTCTGCTGTCAGGGTCTCCGTCTCCCAATCCCTCCTTCCTAGGCCTGTCACCCCTCCACTCTGAGTGACCAGGAGGCCATTAGAGGTGGGTGAAGCTTAAGGTTTTCCAACAGTCAATCGTAATGAAACAATTATTGTATCATGTTCAATGTCACGCTCAGCGTCATGGGTCAATGGCAAAAACTTCCCCCTCCCCCAGTTCTGGTTATATGTAATCAACATACCCTTTCTACTCTCCTGTCACCTCCAGTGAGATTGGTCACTTCAGAGAAATGACCAGGATTTCTTCCAAGAGGCTGGAAAGCCCCATGCCAGGCTCAGAAGGAAGCCTCTTCTGAAGAAAGATAACTGACAGGATTCTCCTGCCAGGAGTCTTTCCTTGGAACGCGTGTTGTTTTCCAACTTCAGCGCTGGACAGTCACGCGTCCATAATCACTAAGAGGACAGTGTCCACACAGGGCCCTCAGCTGTGGCTCTGGAGCTGCCTGTTTCTCCAGCTCTATCTCCAGGGCCAAATGGAATGATCTGCATTCTTTTTCAAACCATATGTACTTTCTCCTTTTGTCTTCTAGAACTAAATGTACTTGGCATGTCCCAATCCCCTCTCCTTATCCTTCCCCATTGTCCTTTAAGACTCACTTCCTTTAGGAAACCTTCTCTGAACCCCCTCGCCTTCCAGCCAGAGCTGGGAACTTCCTCAGAGCTGCCACAGCCCCCCCCCCC